AAACCACTTGAGCTAACTATTTCAAATATTACTAATAATTAGATAATAACATGTTTAATTTGAATTCTAATTAATGTCTGTTTTTTCTCATCAATTATAAATTTTTATAACTCATTAAAATTAATATAATAAATAAAAAGTGGATTAAAAATAAATATTATAGAAGCAGTATAATATATTATTTTATTTATAATAATTATTATATTTTATTAATTAATTACACGAATAAATATGAYTCAAGTAAGTAAAACTAAATTTTAAAATATAAGATTATGAGTATTTTATTTTTAAAAAAGTTGATGAGTTCAAAATGCTCAAAAGAGAAAAAAAAAACAATGAAATTTTTATTAAGTAAAATATTATTTGGAAACTTAACTCTTAACCAATAAAATTTTAAATGCAATACACCAAATCGATATAAAAGTTTGAAATTTATAAATGTTGAATGTGAAAAGTTTTGTTATTTCATTATTTTGAAATATTTTATTTTTACTTATATTATTAACTATAAAGCTTTATTTGGAATTAAATTTCAAAAATTTTAACTTTTTAACTTTCTAATTTGACCGGCATAATTGAATTATATACTTATTGATTTATAGTCATTTTTTTATTATGATAATTTTTTATGAATTGTGATATTTTTTTAATCTTGTATTGGTGAAAAAAAGTATTACGTGCATTTGCACGTGGTAATACACTAGTATTTCTAAATGCGCGGTTGGAGGAATATGCCAATTAGCGCTGAGCTATGCTCGCTTTGGCGGTTGGAACTCAAGTTATGTCGCAACACTTGTGAGCTAATTAATATATTTTTTCCTAACAAACAATAAGACTAACAACCACAAGTAACCCCACATTATAAATAAATTTTCGTTAAAATTGAAATTATATTTTTATGATTATATTACAAATTAAATAAACTTTCAATTTTCCCAAAAAAAAGAAGTCTATGTCATAAAAAAAAAAGAAGAAGTCTATAAAATGAACCAAACAGATGAGAGAGAGAGAGAGGAAAAATTCAAATATTTTGAGAAGCACCCGCCACAAAGTCGTTATTGAGAGATCAATGGCGGAGTTCCCATGCTCTCTAGAACGCTCGGTCGCTTCTGCTCTGCTCCTCCTCTCCACTTCGCCGCCGCCTCCTCCGCCGTCTCCTCCGTCGAGGTAACATACGGAATATGGATCGCTTTTCGAATTTCTGTTTTCTCTGTAATTTGATCTGTTCTCTTGTTTCCTTCAACCTCTGTTTATGTGTTTTGATCGCTCTGTGTAGGTCGGTTTCTCGAGACGAGTGGTTGTTTGAGGTGAAAATCGAAGGAAAATTATCGAGAGAGTTGCCGGCGTTTTGTGATTATTCGAAGTCGTGCTCTTCGATACTCACCGGAGATGAATCGTCCAAGACTCGGGAGCAGGAGCCGTTGTTGTTCTCTACATCGGCTTATGGCGACGAGCTAAAGCTCAATGTGATCATTCTCCTTCTCCTTCTCATCTATTTTAGCTGATTTCTGCTTCTTTAATTTGGTGTTGATGTGGTATTTTTGGCGCTCTTTTTGTTTACTCGCTCTTGTGTGTGTATGAATTCATTTTCTGTGTGTGTAATCTGTGCCTCTGCTCAGTAAAGTAACTATTGATTTGGATCGGCGTTTTGGATTTTGTGATTTGAATTAGTTTCTGGATGAGTTCGATCTGATCGGATTCTGAATTGAGTCTGTGTTCAATAATGCTAGGCTTATTATTTCCTTCTAGTACCTGATGTTAAGCTTTCGGTACCTTGTTGTTTCTTCTTCGATATCTACGTCAATCTGATCAGAATTTTCGAATTGTGCTTCCTCTTGATTGCTTACCTTTCTTCCATTGAATTTAAACTTGTGTAACTTCAATTAGATGGAATCCAAGTCCGAATACTTTTATCGATGAAATGTTTAGTCGCTAATCACTTCGGTGATTGTGAATATATAACTCCAACAAGTTTCGCACAGGTCGTGAGAAAGAGTCGTTCGAAGCTCATACGGATATCCGAGAACCGGAATGCCTCTTCTGCTGACGATGCTACCCTGTCTTCAGGCTCCGCGTCCTCGGAGACCTCTTGCTTGTCAAGCAGCTCAAATGTGGTCACAAGCGCGCCATGCCGTCGTCTGGTTACCAGAGCAGAGAAGAAGTTAGAAATGATTCGTCACGTTTGGAGGAAAAAGCAGGTGGCATCGGCTCATATGCGCCGGCGGGCGGAAGCCATTTTGATGTACCTCTCCGGTGGCTGTTCCTCTGAAGTGAAGATACGCCAAGTGCTCGGTGACAGCCCTGACACAAGCAAGGCTCTCAGAATGTAATTCACTCTGCTTTTATCCAGTGCTTCCAATTCTCACATTTTCTGTACACGGTAGGATGATCTATATGCCGTCAGATTACTCTCATCTCTGATGATAATTTATATGGGGTGACTGTTGCGACTGTTCAATAGACGAAGGTTTAAAGTTATAGTTTGGGAAATATATTTGATCCTTTCATATGAAGCTTATAGATTGAGTGGGATCGATTTAATCTGTTCTTTTAACATATTCTCATGTCTGAACTGTAAAACCTTGATGAAATTGACTTGTTATCTGTTCTTTTGGCAGGTTGTTGAAACTGGAAGAGATCAAAAGATCTGGAACAGGTGGGCGCCAGGATCCCTATATTTACATGGTACTAGAAACTCTCAACTCCCAGCCTTCCTTAAAAGAAAGCATGTCCAACACAAAACCCATTAATGTATAGAGAAATACTTGGAAAATTTTTCCGGGAAAATTGAACATGTTTCTTTCCATTTCCCTTTTTGCAGATTGCTTGACAAACTCTGAGTAGATCCGTTCATTTATAGCCTGGTCCTAACTCTGCCAAAGAGAGAGTCTCGGTAATCCCAATTGATTGGGAAGTTTTGATTAGGCCGGCCTGATCTGTAAGCAAATTAAATATCGTAGGGTACAGAGTATACTAGAATTGATTATAGCTTCTTACGAAACATAGAGCTCTGAAGTATACATCTTAGCTTCTCCATTTTGAATTCTCCCCCAAATGTTACCTTTCAGGGGGAGGATAATTGTTGAATTCAGTTCTGTGACATAGCTATAGTACTGTACAACAAGCATGGGAATATGCCACTTGACCCACTTGTGATTATGGGTTATTTTCTTATAGATCGGTTCTAAAATTTTATATTTTCCTAAACTTGTGTACAACTTAATCCTGGTTAGCTTCAGTCACTGATTTTGGAAAATCTTAGCTATTAAGTTGGAACAGTGTGACTCCTACTTTTCCCGTTAGAAATTTTCACCATATGGTTAGATTATATAGTAGTTCTATGATTTTGCAGAAGAACAATTTCTCAGTTGTGTTTAGAAACAAGCCATCCATGATAACAAAGAGAGAACAAATCCAAGAACACAGTTAACCAAACATGTTTTTTCACTAACTTTTGGTTCCAAACAACTCTTTCATATGACTATCTTTTGGCAGGCTTAAAGTAAGCATCATATTTTGGTACCAATATCTAGCTAGGCTGGAACAACTATAACATTGTCCAAGACAGGGCCACACAAATGGCCAAAGTCATGAAGCTTGGTGTGATAATAAGAACTGTAAAATGTAATCCTTGTGCTAACTGCAACTGCTTGGAACTTGAAACTTGCAGTTTTGGACCTTCCAAGCCCTATAGAAATGAAAGGAACTTTGATGGTTTGTTGGGCAGCAAAAGCTTGGACATCCATGGAGCCATGGCAGCCATTTCTAGCATCTCCAATGGTGAAGGTGAGAATGTAGAATTTTTTGGGAACTGTTGGGATTATTTGGGCAATGGCACTTTCTCTGCCTGAAACCAATTCAATGGCTGCATTCCCTGAAGGGACAAAGAAATGCCTTCTGTCAATGTATTTTACAGGCTTGAGAGACTCAATGATCCAGCCTGGGAGTGGGGAGATGTGATCAAATTGCTTTGGAGGGAGGAGGACTCCATTGGAGAAGTTGTTTATCACATGAGGACCATATTCAAAGTTTCCATTTAACGCTAGGTTTCCTGCAAACATAAGGATTTAACCCGATTTAGATCCCGTTTGATAACAATTCTATCTAAAAAAGCATAACTTTTAGAATAGGATAATTCACAATTTAATCATTATAGTTTGAGTTTAGATCCAATTCTCTACGGTCTGGTCAAACTTCACAAATTTTCCTTAAACTGGTTTTTATTCACTCTCTCCTATTCTTTTACTCAATAATCTTAAAATAGCGAGCGAGTTAGTCAAATAAAAAAAAACTAGTTCATTAGCAAGTATATAGAAAATGTGTCATGGCGATTACCATAAAGATGATTTGTGAAATTTGACCCGACAAATATGGACCAAATTGAAACACTTGAAACTATAAGATTAAATTGAAACTAAACTCAATGAAACAACCAATTTTATAATTTAACCTTTTAACTCATGAGTCAAATTTCAAAATTTCAAAATAACAATACATATATATATGAAAATGACTTTCTATATATAAAAAACAAAAGAGTAAATAAGATTATTATTTTTTCCATAAACAATAAGAGTTATAGTTACATTATTAATGGAAAATATATTCGAGATTCTACTTTCCCAATTTTTTTTTCTATTTAAAAAAGAGGTTGAAATACTATTTTTACTTCTACCTTTAAGATGTCTATTTTGATTTTTGTATTTTTAACTTTTGTTTATTTTAATTTTTATACTTTCAAAACGTCCATTTTGGTCCCCATTAAAGGATAACCAATTTAGCCATCATTGGTAAAATTTTAACACAAACTTTTTAGATTATCAAAACTCTTGAATACAAATTTATGACTATATTTCAAAAAATTTAATGGGTGAAGTGTCATATTAAAGTTGTAATATATAAAAATGAGAAACTAAAACAAAGAAACTAGAATTGTCTTTTTTTAGTTCATGCGCCAAATTTGACGTTTTAAAAGTATAGGAGTTAAAACAAACAAAATTGAAAAAATATGAATCAAAATAGATATTGTGAAAGTATATATACCAAAATAGTATTATTTTTTTCAAGTCACCATTAAAGTTTTGACAAGTAAGAGAAAAAATGTACAAAGAAAGATTCATTAAGATTCTGACTAGTAAGTACCTAAATATTTTCTTACCTGGAACGGGACGCACAGGTGGCATCTGCTTGATAAAGACGAGATCCAAGAGGGGCCCACAAGTGGGGTCCTCTTGAACACCAGGGTTATGAAAGGTAATTTTGACAACATTTCTATTAGCCCTAAAGGAGAAGGCATAAGTGTCACCCCCATTGCTATAGAGCGTTTGAATGGAAAGGTCTGCTGACTGAGCCCCAGCTACCACCCTCAGCACCTCGTCCTGGGCACAAGTCCTGGTCACCCCAAACGTCGCCGTATAGACCGAGCCCCGTCTTAACCTCACTGCCTGTGAGATCAAGGCCTCGTTCCCCAACCTCACCGCATGGGCCCCACGGGGGATCGGTAGGTAGAACCCACCCGGCTGGGGCCCACCCGACACGTATTCGACCAAGCCATTGATTTCCCATTTTGGTAGTGAAAATTTGCCTATGATCACTGTTTTGTTTAGCTTTGATTTGGGTGGTGACTCTTCAAAGTCACCATTTGGGACAAGACCTAAAACAAGATAGAGAAAAATATATTAATATCAGAGTTTCGAATCTGCAATCTTTAAAAAAAAAAATTAAAATAAAAGAGTTGGTATTGACATTCATTTAAAAAGAAAGTAATCTGATGTGACAAAATCCAGAACATATAGTAATTTTATAATTTGAGAATATGGAAAATTGAATCTCGGACTTCAACGAAAGAAGTATATATCAATTACGCTGAGCTATGATTATATAGACTAAAAGATGTAGTAATTAATGAAAAAAAAATTTTGTCAACAATTATTTCTACTCGTAAATTTTTTTTTCACCATTAAAATATTAGTGAGTAGGGTGGAACAAAATTTTTCCAGTGAGATCTACATATATATATTTTTAAATATAATATTAAAAGAACCAAATCAAATATAAAAAGTATGAGAAGTTGAGCATTTCTATTGATGTGTTCCACTTGAAAAACAATTTTTAAGATTTAAAACTATTTTCCTGCCCAATGGAAGTAGAATTTATAGGGTTGAATATGATATATATTGATCGATAAATTGATAAAAACACATGTTACTATTATTAAGATCGAGATGGTTCTTCTCGACGTTTGAAATAAAAGGGAAAAAAACGACAAAATTTAAACTCTGTTTGACTTTTGAATAGGAATAGTGTTAGTTTCTTCAATCCCGAACCTAATTTCGAATTTCCTCCAGATTTTGAACTTCAAACTTCCTATACCATTTGTGCATTCGGAAAAAAGAAAAAGAAAAGCCACATGGATTTTACTTTTTTGGAAAGAAAAAAGGATAGAAACTCCTCTTTTTTTTTCAATTAAGAGTAGGAAATAACTATAGAATCAAAACTTAATATAAATTAATGGAAGAAGAAGAAGAAAAAAGTGGATTAGAGTTGCTTACCATCAAGATAGAGAGGAGGAGGAAGAACTGCAGAAGAAACAGAGGCAGCAAAGAGAATGAAAATTAGTAGAGGGCAAAAAAGGAAACCCAAACTTCTTTTTCCCATTCTCCAAAATCAAACAAAAACAAAATGGTGTTTTGTGAATAGGGAATTATGAAGATGCTTTGCTTTGCTTTCAACTCTCTAATCTCTATGGATTTATATATAATATGCTGATCCTAGGTTTTAGTCAAACAGGGAAAAGAAAAAAGAAACCACTCACAAACTCCGATGCACACTAGTCTAACATTTTCAAACATCAATATGAGAGGTGAATCGATATTTCCGTGAAAAACCAACAAAATGTTAAAAGAAATCAACAAAATAACATTAATATGGATATAATATAAACGATAAGAATTTTTAAATTGTTTAAAAAAACGGAATGGTTGATTTGTTAATTTAAATATTTTTTATTATGACTTATTCAAAAATATTTATCGATCGATATTTCTTTTGATATTCTGATATATTTAAAATTTTGAATTACACACGAACTTCTAAACTTGAGCGCTTAATCAGGCGTTTCATGTGTTCTTCTCCCTCTCTTTCTTGGTTTTTCTTTGCGTGGGAGCCCACATGAGCTTTAATTGATTGCCATGAGAGAGTTTGCCTTTTGATTTTTGAATTATTTATTTATTTATTTATTATTATTATTATTTTTTTGGAAGTAGTGCTCTCTCTTTAGATGAATATATTCCATTCTTTTTCCTTTTCTTTTTTCTTCTTTTTATTAAAATATATTTTGGTAACTTCGAAAATTTCCGATAGTCAAAGGTGCACTAAAAAGTGTTGGGTTTGGTTGCTATCAAATAATGTGATTTGTGGTTGAGTTCTATCGGGTAAATGATGTGTGCTGATTTGAAGAGATGAGTTGACTTATGATAAGCAAATCTCGATGTGGCAAAGATTGAATGAATGAACAGTCACTCTAGGGAAAATTGTTGAGGGTGCAAACATAATCTCACGTTGATTAGAAGTGAAGAAGATCTTAGATATGTAAATAATGATAACGTCTCTATCAACGTGTGTGCTTTTTAATCCAAAAAACAAAATTCTCTGAACTAATTAGATCTAAAGTGTAGACAACATCTTACCATTATATTGTTAAAATATAAATTGACGTTTACTTTATCTTTTAAATTTAAAAGACCACTTTTAAGATCATGAAATTTGACAAATAGTTCAAAAAATTGACATCGTATGGGTAAATTTCTATACAACTTGATCCTGATCGTTATTGGCTCTCACTAGGTTCACGAGTTTCATAAGAGTTAGAAATATTATTCTATTATGATCATAGTCCTATTAATTTCTAGCGTCCACATAATTGTGAGATTGTAAACGTATAGTTCTACGTGAGTTAAGAATGAAGAAATATCTCGAGTATATAAATAAACACAATATCCCTATCGAGGAGAGGTAAAAAAATTAAAATTAAATTAAAAAGACTTAAATTCAAAGCGAATAATATTATATCACCAGAGTTAATAGGTTTTAAATTGTTTACAGGAATATTTTAAGATCTCTTGAAATATTTGATTTTTTGATTTTTTGATTTTTTTGATTTTAATTATTTTGCTTTAGAGATGATTAAGAAAGATATAATTGGATATCTTTTTGTTACACTTAACTTCAAACCCCAATTTCACATATCTTTTTGTACTTATTTCTTATCAAGTTTGACTTAATTAGTTAATTTGCTCAAATAATTTTTATGTTTGAATCAATTTAACTTTTTCTTCTTATTTCAATAAATAAAATAAGAGTTTCAAGCACTTTAAAAACTATTCAAATATGTGTAGATCATGACTAAAAAAAATTACGACTTATAAATCTATAAAATTAAATTAAAATTTCGGTGAATACATGTGTCTTAATCAGCTGAACCATGCTTCAAATTCGTCGATTTTTAGATATTTTAGGTTATCTTTAATTATTACATATGTTTGTTCTAATTTCTTTTCTTTTTTTATTATATAGAAAACAAAATTTAAAAAACAATTTCTAAACCATTCATCTGAGATGGTTAGAAGATGATGTTTAAAATAATTTTCTGTTTCTTAAAACTAAAATAATAAACTTTTTTTTAATTATTTAATAGAATAATTCCTTAAAATATAGTTTTCAAAATAAGAAATTTCAGAAAACAAAAATAATATTGTGGGATTTCATGCTTTCTGAATTAATTTTTCCATGTATATACAAATTCAATCATTAATTACTTTTAAGCATAACTTCATCTTCACTACAAAAAACACTATAACCTAATTTAAATGTATTATATTTTTCTATATAGATTCTTTTTTTTCAAAGCATAAACCACCATGTAAGTATAAAACTTCCTTATAATTTTATTCCATATATTCACATAAATATAGATTAATTTATCGAAATATTATTTAATTATTTTCAAAGAAGTCAGAAGTTTGAACCCCTCCCTCCTTTATTTTTTTTTTTAGTACATTTGAGAATTTGAAGCTCATCCTAGTTGTATATATTTACCACTGAAACATGATTGGTAAAAAAAAAATTCAAGCAATTATACTCGGAGACTTTTAAAGACTAATGCAATTAAGTCACGTCGTTAAAACTTTGGTTATTTGAAAAATAGATAAATTATACATAAGCTAAAATGATTGTTATGGCTGACTGTTACCTCTCAAATTAGATAGAGATCGTTAAAAATAAACTCTCAAATTTATTGTAATGGTGTTTTTTAAAGTTGCGAAACAATTATAATTAAACAAAACTGCTAACCAAATTATATTAGTAATATTTAATTATAATGATTTATAGCTAATCTGAATATAGGTGAACGAGTTAAGATATCTATATACTACCGAAAAATTGTCAATTCGAATTTGTATCCCACCTGTTGTAGAGTTTGAGAAGATAATTTCTTAAATGGAAAGGTGGATAATATAATTGAAGAAATATAAATCCAATACTACTTTTTTAAAAATTAATTCTTAAACTTCAAAACAAAGAAAAAACAATTTAAAAAAGCAAAAATTTACTCCTTTTTCTCGTATTTCCGTCTGACAGTCGGTGCCACGCACGTGACTACGCCCACAAAACCTTCCGAAATTTGCGTGGCTTTTTATTACCGTCAACTCCAGTTATCAGCTGCAGCAAGGCCCACTGTAACCTTTTGGTCAGACATGTAAAAACATGACACGTGTTTAAAATATCCCCTGTAACGGAACGGAGCTGTTTCCTCCGCCATTTGCGGCGGACCGACTGACGTGGCTGTCTTTGTCCTGTCGCGTATATTTTACGAGATTTATTTAGTAAAATACGACGTATTTAATTCGAGATAGGTGTCTTGTGGTGTTTTCGGTCTCTTGTTAAAATCACTTCTCTTAAATTTATTTTTCAATATTACTAATTCTACCCTCGCTCTCGAATACATATGAAAAAGGTTATATTTAGATAGTTAAAGTTGGTATAAATGAAACTCTCATTTTAAATGCTGTCCACAATTTGTCGATGAAATTTAAAATTTCGTCCATAGAATTTATTTGTATGGATGAAATTTATCATAAAAAATAAAAATTATTGTAGTGAAAATTTTAGCAAAGTCATTAATTTGGTCAAATTTTAACAAGTTAAGAGTTTAGTCATGGTTGATATTGTCGTCTAAAGACTCTAAATAGGAGTGACATGATTTTTTGGTTACATGAATGAAAATTTTATTGCAAAACTTTTTTGTTTTGGTTAAATTAACAATTTAATTATTAAACTTTAAATGGCACCTCTAATTTACTCCTCAAATTAAATTTAGAAGTTTTAATCTCCTAAATTTTCAATGGAGAGGCAGAGAAATCTACCATTTGAAAAATTGGGTACAACTATTAGGGAAAAAAAAAGGACAACTTTGTCAAGTAAATTAGTGTGCAATGCTAATGACTAAAGTTATAAGTGTCAAGGACAACGGTATTCCTCGTATCTCAAATAGTTGAGCAATAATTGACGCATGTCTTTAACTAAAAGAAAATGAGTTCAAATTTCCTCTCTACTTGTTGTACTAAACAAAAAAACCATGTATCTCAATCATATACTCACAACCTCTTGATTGAAAATATATGTCAATTATCATTGAGTTATAGTCATGTTGGCATCTGAAAATAGATATTCAACATGCTATTCTCGTCCTCTTACATTTACTATTCTCTCTTTCTCTCTCCCATGTATTGTTTTTCCCCTTCTCGTTTTCTCTCCTGGAACACGCTAAATACCAAACATTATTTCTCTCTCTAACATGCAAAGACCTTTCACACATATGATTTTCTATGACAAATATAGCACAATTGCACTCATTGCATTCCCTTATTTCTCTTACATGCAAGACAACACATATTCTCTCTGTCTTTAATTATAATACCATAATTCTAGTAGCCGATCCAAAACTTTGCGTTTAGTAGCACGAATTATTTTTTGGTAAATTTAATTCATATATGGATTCTCAACACTCCCCTCACTTATGGGCTTGGATAATTGCATAAAGTCCAACAAGTGGAAATCATTATAAATGGGGAGGAAACAATAATGCAGGGTTCAAACACATGATCTTTCGCTCTGATACCAAAGATGAATAAACCACCACACTTAACCAAAAAATTTTAAGCTGATAGGTTGAATAAATTTAATTCATATATGGATTCTCAATACTAACTATCTAGAAACTTATTGGAATCTCCACATATCTCTCTATTTTGTATTAATCTTTCTAGATTGTTTTTGAAAATTGTAAATATGTATCTAAAAAAAGACTTTAGAAGTATCTTAGCTTTTTCTTTAGGCTCCAAGGAATTCTAGAGATTAAGAATAGATTAAGAAGTATCTAGAATATATAAGAGAGGAGCCTAGAAATATCTTTTTGATTGGACTCCAACGGCCTATAAATAGGAGAGATGTCCCCATATGTGAATGAATCAAGTGAAAAGAGTGAATCAATAGTAGTGAGTGAAGAAAGTGAGGAAAGTTAGAGTGTAAGATAACTTTATTTCAAAGAGTGCTCATTTGTATACTTTCCTAATAAAAGCTTCTTTATTCAAAAGATCATCTCTTTCCTTTTATGCTAATTTCTTCTACAAATGGTAATCGAGCTGAAAACGA